AGATAGTCTTCCTCATGCTCCGGAATGTCTTCCAGTATCTCATTGACGGCCTCTGTCTCCATGTCTTCGTCTGTTGAGGCACTAGAGGCTCCTACGATAAAATACCGCGGGAGTAAGTGAATTATGTGAGGATTGTCCTGGGGACACTGCACAACCACAGTCAACCTCAGACTGTGCCTCCTGCTGGCCACACTGTCCAGGCGGCCAGCCCAGCGACGTCAGGGGACGCCCCTCTCAGTCTCCATGTCTGCCGTGGCCTAGGGCACCAGCCCCATCTGTTGGCTTCTGAAGACACTTTGCTGTCAACGTGGCCCTCAGAGACCTCAGACCTACCTGCAGAGTCAGAAGGGGATGTGGCTGGCGGGGACAAAGAGTCTTCCGGCGACAGCGGCAGGTCGGGAGGCAGGCTTCCTCCGTTGTGAGCAAGGGTCTGGGCAGCCAGCTGGACGTTGCCTCTGAACACTCTCAGCGCAGCTTCGGCCACAAGTGCATCAAAACCCATGTACACCAACTAGGGGAGAGGGCAGGGTCACAGCCTCGGCCACCCCATCACCCACAACGAGCAGACAGCCGGCTCTCATATTTAAGAGCTCCCGGCATGCGCACCATGGCCCTTTCGGCACAAGTCATGCTTCTGTGCAACGGGAGCGTGGAGCAACCTGGAAGGGGGGCTTGGAAGACTCGAGTCGGGTGCGTCAGTAAGCAGCCATCTCGGGACAGGCAGTGACCTCGGGCTGAGAGCAAGGCGCCACGCCAGTCTCACCACGAGCACGGTGAGGTCAGTGGCCACAGCATACAGGCATGCTAATGCGTGTGGGGGGACAAATGTGGACAGAGTTGTCACTTGGGACACAAAGCTGGATGGGTTTCACAGGTCACAGTGACATCCTTTTAGGTCACAGGCAGATAAATGGGACTGATGTAAACAGCGGTGCATCGGAAAAGGAGGCAAACCTAAAGAGAACTTCCTGACACTTCCCCAGATGTCCTGCTTTTCAAGGAGGCCTCCCCTGCCCTCTGTTGCTGCGTGGGTGGCCTCTGAGGTGGCAGGTTACACCTGGAGCCTGGGAGCCAAGGTTTCAGCACGGACTCCCCCAGTCCTGCGGCCTGATTCACCCGCGTTACCCCAAGCAACCCCACCCAAGGCTGTCCAAGCTGAGGGCACAAAGACGTGTCACTCACTTGGTCAATGTTTTCCTGGGAAGGACTTTCTTGACGGTTGTCGGTTTCAGGATTGGAATCATTTAACCACCACATCTGAGGATTGCTGAGCAGAATCTAAAACACACAGGAACACGCTTTACCCACCACTAAGCTCTTCACACATTCAGACAGGCACCGCACCCTGCCGTGTGCTCGGCAGACCCAGCCGTCCTCTGCTGCTATGAGGCAGGGAAAGGGGCTCCCGCCCAGGCTGATGTGCCCAGAAGGCTTCCAGCCAGAGACTGGGACAGTTGGGGTTTGAAGGAGGAGCAAGACTAGTCAGGGGAAAGATCCCTTCTGACAGAGCAGGAAGGGACGAGAGCAGGTGGAAGCGCATCCAAGCAAACAGGTTTCGTCAGAGCCACAGACAGAAAGGTCTCTTAAGCAGCTCAGGGCTGCCTGATTGATCTTTGAAAGTGTCATGCCCTCTAGACTTAAAATATCAGGCAGGTAGTAGAGTTATTTTGACCCTTGGTTTCTTCGTCACACAATACTTAATCTTAAAAGACTCTGTGCAGACTTTCCTTTCCAACACTCAATACTTCTGTGTTGACTGGAGGTATTTATGTGCTACTCATATAATTCCAATCTACTTCGAGACCCATCAGTCCCTTCGGATGTTCAGAATTTCCCACCTCTTAATATTTCTCCAACACAAAAAAATCAAAGTAGATATTCAAATACAATTTTAAAATTTAACGTATACATTAAATATACATATACATCGTAACAGAAGTACTGACTTGTGGAGCCTTCCAGGGAACAGGGCAGGGATAAGAGACAAAGGCAGGGTGGACCCCCCGTGCCTGCTGCACCCACACCCGCCTCAGCAGGGCAAACGAGTACACCTGCCCTGCCCTCCACCTGCCTCCACCCCCATCTTGCCCCCAGCCCCGCCCCCAGCATGCACACAACCTAAGCTAGCTCCTGCCTGCCATGCTGCCCCAGCATCTGCCTGGACTGCTGCCTCCACGCAGCCAGCCCCCTGCCTCCTGTGCACCCCTGGGGACTCCCTACCACGCGTGCTCTGAGTTTGTCTCTCTCTGAGCTGCGGGGCTGAGGGCAGAGGGCGCTTCCATACCAAGCTGCCGAGACGCAGCACAGCACCTGCCCTACTGAGGATTCCATCTGCTTCTCCAACACAGGGAAGGAAGTGGCCCAGGTAAAGTCACTACTGTCTGGATCCCAACCTGCTGTCACTCCTGAGGGGTTCTTTGAGAAGCTTCCCCTTTGCCAACATGTACTATGGACTAAATAAATAAAACTAGATACTTACAGTTAAAATTTTAATGCCAAACAATTATACTGCAAGTTGAATTACCATTCTCTTTTTCTGCTGTGGAAATGGCCTGTTTACACTACACTCTGCTGCACACACAAACCCTACATCAAGTCCTGGCCTGTGGACTCCGCTGGTGTGGACAGGCACCGTGTTCTGGAGCCAGGCCTGGGCCAGGCACTGAGCATGGGGCCTCATGGGGCCTCACATGGCCTCTGTTGGGGCTGGAGCCCAGGAAAAAGCTGCCCTTCAGATCTGATGACGGGGCAGCCCATAGGAGTGAGCCTGGGAGGACGCCCCGAGAGCCATGGAGGGAGCTCTGGGCAGGACCCACTGCTCAAGGACAAGGCCAGAGGCCCCGAGGGAGCGGCTACCTTCAGGGCCTCGTCCAGGTTCCCGCTGGCTGCGTGGAGCGCCTGCTGGGCTGCGTGCGTGGAGTAGCCCATCCCTTTCAGAGACCTGATGTTCTCGAGGCGGCGTCTTTTCTTCTCTTTTTCCTCCTTCCTTATTTGGGCCAATTCCTTTAGGAAAACAGCAAAGTCCCACCCCAAGTTAGGGACTGAGATTTCACAGCCTCTCAGTGAACACTCTGCAGGACTCTCGGGGCTTCCAGGCAAAGCCAAAAAACCAAAGCAAAGCACAGCAGGACCCCTGTCTACCTCTTTTCACCCAGCCAAATGGCAGAGGTGCCACAGAGGCAGAGGGGTGGTGCAAGTGCTGCTTCTGAGGGCAGGCAGTGGAAGTGAGACGCCCGTGGGGCAGGAAGGAGGTGCCTCATGAGCCCTGCCATCCGGCATCAGGATGGGCCACTCGCCCAGCCCAGCGCGCTCCCACTGCAGAGGTCGCAGGCGTGAGGTGCGTGGATTCTCTTCTAGCAACTGGGCAGAGAGCTTTGTGCATGTGGTGGGAAGGCCTTCCAGCCTTTGGTGAATCGCCCAGGGACTCCAGTTCCAATGTGATGTGGAGTCAGGGGGCTCCTGGGCAATGCCATGGTTGATGACCCACCCACCACAGCTTGGGGAGCAAGGACTCCAGGGCCTTCTGAGGCCTGTCATTCCATTCAGAACCCACAGAATGCCCAAGGGACAAAGGTCATCTAACCTCTTGGTTCTCAACCCTGTTTCTCAGAGTTGCCTGCTATTGCTGCAGGAGCACAAGGCGGCTGCAGAGGGTTCTAGTCTCTTCACCTCTCCCACCCAGGGCCAATCAGGAGGGTTCCCAACTTATTTTGTAAACTAGTATGCCCATAAACATGTCACTTAAAAAGGGGATTTTGCTGCTTAAAAACAACAACAAAGCAAGTTTGAAAACCAGGAATTTAATCCAACCTCATTATTTTCCCAACAAGGAGACAGAAAGCTTTCAACAAAGCTAAGTGACTGCCACATTCTCCCAGGGAGACCAGCTCCACCATCAGCAGCAGTGAGGACGGGGGAGAAAACAGACTCCCCTCCTTCCAAAGACCTGCTCCTGCCTCCCACCCAGCCCAGGCAACAGGCGCCTCCCTGCGTTTTCCCCACAGCAAGAAAGTGGCCTCATCTCTTAGGAAAACAAAAGCACCATCATCGTGGAACCAGACTCCACAGCGCCACGGTAGGAGCAGGCAGAGCAGAGTGGCTGCCGGAAACATCTCCAGGGATGAAGATACCTGTACACTCATGGCCTGTCTCTATCACAGGAGAACCTCCCCTAGTTGGTGCACATGGGTGCCTCTCTGCACCCCAAGAATCCAGCTGCACCAGGCCTGTCTCATGCCCCCGTTACGTGCTCTACCTCTCAGCGGCCAGTCTCCCCCAGCTCCAGCCCCGCTGCACAGCGCAGTGGGCTCCGTCATTCCAGTCACCTACCTAAAAGCCCACAGCAGCTCCTGACCACCTCCCCACACTGAGGCACCAGCTCCTTATTATGCTACTCAGGGCTCCCACTCCCTAGCCCCAACAACGCTTCCAAACTGACCTTATCCTGCCACACCACTCCAACCACGCACGCCAGCAGGAGCCTTTCATGCCACTCACATTTGCACTTTTATTCACACTTACACTCCACATAAAATGCCTTTACTGGTCCCATCCTCTGCTTTCAATACAGTTTCTTCCATTTATATTCCAAAAGGCTAAGAAGCACGCCTAACATCCAAGCACAGAGAAGGACGCTGCCAGCCAGCAGACCTGGGCTTTACTTAACACAGACCTCGCATCAACTGGGAGCTTCGAAGAACATTTCCTTTCATTACAAATGTCTTAGTCTGTTTCCTTTTAATCATGTAAACACACGTGAGAAAATTATTTTCTGATATATTTCTCTTTATACTAAGATGAGTTAGAAAGATAAAGTAGATCAATCAATGACAGTACTGCACTGAAGTGGCTACAGTTAAGTAGAATCAGATTTCAAGAGAGAGGCATTGTATGGTCACAAGCAGCTGGGACGACCTCTTAGGAAGGCTGCCTCTCACAGTCTGGCCATACTGAAGCATGATCTGTGATCTTCTGTTTCTACAGCTGTTGCTTTTTGCCAGATGAGAAACTGGTCTGTACTCAGGGCCATGTTGCACAAAAAATATAAACTTTAAAAATTATGTATTAAAGGCTGGGTGCAGTGGCTCACACCTGTAATCCCAGCACATTGGGAGGCCAAGGTGGGAGGATTGCTTGAACCCAGAAGTTTGAGACCGACCTGGGCAACATGGTGAGACCCCATTTCTACAAAAAATAAAAACAAAAATCAGCCAAGAGCTCTTGGCAGGAGGATCATTGGAGCCCAGGAGATCAAGGTTGCAGTGAGCCATGATCATGCCACCGCACTCCAGCCTGGACAACAGAGCAAGACTCTGTCCCAAACAAAAACAAAGAATTTACATTCAGTTTAGTCAGATGCCCACACCTAGAATGTTGGAACTCCGTGGGCAGCAGCTTTCTCTCGCTCATCTAAAGCTCCGATGGGAGCCCACTTTCTGTGGGACGTCGTTTTTGTCTTTCCAGAACCCGTTCTACCCCTCCCTGAGGTGTGGGAGGCTGCTCCAGCTCCCCAGGTGGCCCCTGAACGGGCGAAGGTGGCGACCCTCTATCTCTTGCCACAGGCCTGAGCCAGTCTTGGCATTCCTCCAGCCTCAGTGACAACAGGTTCAAGGCTTCCCAATCACAAGAAGCTCAGGATTTTCCCTGAGGATTCTGGGACAGAGATTATGGCCCTTGGTGTGATTGGATGACACTGATGACACAGGGTGGGGGGTGGGGTAGAGAGACAGACCTCAGGTCCTCAGTGACATCAGTAAGCCACTGAATCACCTAACCCTGAGACCCATCCTACTTCTGGACTTTTTACAAGTAAACAGGCCAATAAATCCCGTCACATCCCTTTTTTTGATGTTTAGGCAATTTTGGTTTTTTGTTGTTGTTGTTGCTTTCAGCCAAAAGCATCCTAACCAATAACACCCATTGGGGTGGAAGAGGGAGCACGATCAACTGCACTATACACACTGTTGTTTTTTATTTGCATTTTCTCCAAGGGCTTTTAACTTCAGAAATGTACAAGTGATGTGATTCCACTATGCTTTAAAAGACCGCCTCTGAGCTACAGCTCTTCCCATGTGTAAGATGAGAAGTATCTGTCCTATGGCCTCTCGGGTGGTCACAGGCAGAAGTGAATGACATGAGTGTGACAATGTTTTATGAACTGTAGTCTCATACACTGATGAGAATTGTTTTCCAAATGATCTCATTTTAAAACACTAGCTTTCCAGATGCTAATAAAATCTTACTGGTAGTGGAGCAATAGTAAAGCAACAAATCAGTATCAGCAATGTTTGTTTTTCTGTTAGTACTTAATTAGACCATGTAAAACTCAAACACACAGAACTCAACTTTTCAGCCCATCGCAGTGGCTCACACCTGTAATCCCAGCACTTTGGGAGGCCAAGGCAGGCAGATCACTTGAGGTCAGGAGTTCGAGACCAGCCTGGCCAAAATGGTGAAACCCCATCTCTACTAAAAATACAAAAAGTAAAGCTGGGCATGGTGGTGGGCACCTATAATCCCAACTACTCAGGAGGCTAAGGCAGAAGAATCACTTGAACCTGGGAGGCGGAGGTTGCAGTGATCACGCCACTGCACTCCAGCCTGGGTGACAGAATGATACTGTCTTGGAAAAAAAACAAAAAAGAACTCAGCTTTTCAAAGTCTCTGCCTTTACCTACTCATTGACTTCTATAGCAAGACCCAAAGGACCACGACTGGACTAGGCGAGAGAGAGGTAACGACCACAGTTGGTGTTGTAAAAGGAGAAACCCAAGCAGCCCTGGGACTGCTCACCATGGCATCAACCCACGAATCCACTCCCTCTCTGGCATCATGTGGGCAAACAACCACGGGGCTTTCCTGCTCCCATCCTAATACCCCGAGGCTGCTTTTATCCTTCGGGATTATCCTAGTGTTTAGCAAAAAGGGAAACGAGGTAACATACATTTGAGGATTCTAGAGACTTCTGTGGCTGGAGTTTACAGCTAGAAAGGGCCTGTGAGATAATCTAGTACCAACTTCTTGTTTTGGCAAAAGAAGAAAAATGGTTCTCCTGCTAATATTCCACCATGATCTCCCTCTAGGCCTCAGTTATTTTACTGCAGGACATACTGGATAGAATAAGGATCCCTCCAACTCCAAAATCCTAAGGTTTTCTTTAATGTACTTAATTGTTTCAAATGATTATAGTTTTTTAACCTGTGCTTTCATAATATAATACAACTTGTTTCTATAATTTGACTTATGTTTCTAGGCAAGGATGCAATCCCCAACTTTAATAAAGACCTCATGAAAAAACAATTTTCTGTTTTTAAAATGACTTCCAGAAAGAGAGTTAAAGAGAGAAAGGGGACTGTTTGCCACCACAGCAGGAAACAAAACTAAGGAAACTGCAGCATGTGAAAAATGATCCAATTGAAAAAGACAAGTTTCAGCCGGGCACAGTGGCTGACGTCTATAATCCCAGGACTTTGGAAAACTGAGGTGAGCTCATCACTTGAGGTCAGGAGTTTGAGACCAGCCTGGCCAACATGGTGAAACCCGTCTCTACTAAAAATACAAAAATTAGCTGGGTGTGGTGGCGGGCACCTGTAATCCCAGCTACTCAGGAGGCTGAGGCACGAGATTGCTTGAACTCGGGAGGGGGAGATTGCAGTGAGCCAAGATCGCGCCACTGCACTCCAGCCTGCACGACAAAGTGAGACTCTATCTCAAAAAAAAAAAAAAGTTTCTCCTTCCTTCCCAATCTGGAGTAATGAAGAGTTCCTTGTTATTAACACCTCCTGTGAGACTATCTTTTTTTGTTCTTTCATACCCAAGAGAGCTAGGGCATTGTGAAAGTGGGTACCTCTCTGCGGTTGGTAATATGAGTGGCCGCATGATCCACGTTCCCATCACACGCCCTCAGGCCAAGCCGGGCTTCCTGGGCAGTAAATCCCAACTGCAACAAATTGTCCACTTTTGATGGATCGATATATAGCTCTTTCAAGAGCTGACGTGCCTAGAGACAGGGAGAAATGTAAGAATCATGTAACCATGGCAATACTTAAAGCTTAATACAAAGTTAAAGCCTAAAAGAAACTAGATTGTGCCCAATGTGAATTAAAGGGCATCAGATTTTGGACAAAATCTCTAAACTAGGCCTGTTATTAACAAGTACAAATGGAAAGAGACCAACACCATCTCTACTCACATTACACAGCCTCAGCACACCAGGAAAGAGGCTGGCTGTTGTGGAAGTGACTGGTATCCACTTTTTTTTTTTGCAACAAAAGCCCCTGAATTTGAGCTGTACACGTGGCATTTCTCACCCTCCCGTGCAGCTGGGTGTAGCCAGGTGGTGAAGTCGAGGTCAATGGCATGCAGCCACAGCGCTGGGTGCAGCTGCGGGGCCATCGCTCAAGTGGCCTGCTCTGGACGCTCTCTTGCCCCCTCTGCTGGCTGAAAGAGGCACTGACAGGAGCAACCTGGGACGCCTCGCTGAGGCTGGCGGGCTGCTCACTGCTTTGGCCCCGCTCACCTCCAGACTGCAAGATGAGTGAGCCATAAACTTCTATCCAATTAAAGTCACTGTCTTTTTGAAGTCTCCTTGTTACAGCATCTGGCTGTACTCTAACAAATACAAACATGTTTCTGGTTCAACATCTCCTGTGCACGGAGAAAGCGCAGGCATGTTTCTCACAAGTCACAAACTACTAAGTTAAAATCCTTAACTTCCGCGAGTGTTTTTTAAAAGGAGGTGAAAATGGTTACAACTTTACTTTTCTTACCTTGTTAAGATACTCACAAGCCTCTACATCATTTCCACTGTGATAGTTTCGGATACCTTGAAGTAAGTAGAGTCTTAGAAACAGTACTTTCTCTTTCCCACAATTTCCCTAAAATTATTGAAGAAAAAAAGGACAAAGTTGCCTTATTTCTAATTACAGGTGTATAATACTCATATCTGTAATTCCCTTGGTCTCCAGAGGGGCAACATGGTAGTATTAAAACGTCCATGGCTTCACTATGACTGATGGCAAAAGTGAAGCCCCTTCTTCCCCATCCCCTGTGGTACGACGACGTTCCTCCAGACATGCAGCACTCCAGACATGCAGCACTCCAGACATGCAGCACTCCAGACATGCAGCACAGTGGCCCTCCTGGTCAGCAGAGAAGTATGCAGAAATCCAAACCAGGTATAAGAGAATCTACATCAGCAGGATTGTGATGACTTGCGGAAATCAGAACAATCCTTACTCGAGCCAGAGCTCTTGAGCTGGGACTCATTCACTCTAACTGTTACTGCTGAAATGTCTGTTTTCTGCATTTACATCTTGCAAATTAGACTCTACCCATATAAAGAAGTCAGCAGCTCTCTCCTGGTCAGGGTGATCACTGGTGGGGTTCTATGACTAGCAAACTGTGTTCCTTTGGGCTAAATGCTCACACACTAAAAGAGACAGCCAGATTTGTAAAACATGGAACACTTTATAAATATATAGGTTCACAAGAGTATACTGCATATACTACTATCAAAATGAAATCACCTTCTGGCAGTAGTTCAAATACTTTAACAGGAATAAACACAAATGCTAGAAATGGACTCAACAAGACAGAAAATGAATTCCAGGAACATACTTTTATGTGGACCAGTCTCTGATGATTTTCTCCATAACAATTTTTAAAGCATTTCTGGGCCAAGTTTAATTTTTTTTCTGCATCATCAAGGCATTCCAGTTGTTCCAGGCGGAAGTAACACCACACTATATCCAGCTGGAGGACGGCATAGTTATCCACTGTGTCCAGCAGCTCTCTGCAACACTCACTGGAAAGAGAAGGAAAATGACATCACTGCCAAGCAGCATTTGAAACATTTTTAGCATTTGAAACCTTTTTGTGAATTACTGGAATTCTTTCCCAGTTCTTGGTATATGTTCAAAGGCTGACTGCTCTAAAAGAGAGATCTTAATGTTTAGGAAGGGAGCTGTATTTATAACCTCATCCTTCTAATGGGGGAAAAAAGGAGAAATCAGGGCTTAGGAATCAAAGCTTATCACCACTTGCCCCAGGACACACATGCAGTCCCTTGACAGGAAGGAGAACCCAGGGCCACTGTTTCAGAGGCCCTCAGCAAATACTGGGAAGATCATGCTTTAAAACTGTGACTTCCAATCCTAACTGCAAATTAGCATCACCTGGACCAGAGCAACATTCGTTCGTTCGTTCGTTCGTTCTTTAAGAATCATTGATCCCACCTAGACCAAACATAATAGAAATCTCTGGGGGTTGGGCCTGGTCGTTATATTGCCCGAATCTCCCCAGGTGAGTCTAACGTACAGCCAGGGCTGAACACCGCTTCTTTAAAGACGCCAAAAAAATCCCTACGTATTATGAATGCCTCGGCTGACGAAGGCTCGGACAAGACATTCACGTTCAACCACATTCAAGCTGGGGGAAAATCAATCCAGAAAGCGCCAGGCTCTAACGGCCCAGCTGATTTCTGAGGGCCTGTGTGCAGGCAAAACGAGACTCGGTATCCGTGGCAGCAGGCTGAACCCAGGCACAGAGAAGGGAAGAAAGACAGCAACAGAAGTCAGCGTGCTCCAGGAGAAGTGCTGGCAAAGGCAGCCATCAGAGTGACTGATTTTAAGTTATGATTACGTTAAAAATTCCTAATGCCAATCTAGGTCTCAAGTCTTCAATAAGAACATTTGGAACCACACATTGTACATGAACAAGGTTTTATATCTTTGTGTTCATTGGTGTTCTACTAAAAATAAGACTGCTCTTGTATAAAACTACGAAATCCACATGGCCTCAAGCTTCCTGTCCTGCCTATCAAAATATGCGTGTAATTAAAAAAAAAAAAAAAACCCAAAAGGACTTTTATTTTGTCATTTGCCCTTTAAAACAGTAGTCTCCTAAAGAGGGCCCGTGTAGACAGTCCAGTTGGGGGTGCGGCAAGAAAAATGTATCACGGCTGTATTTTTACACTTATTTTCATCTCTCTCAACATTTCGAATTTTGTGAATGTTTGAGAACATATACACCATATTTTACACACACATGTGCACGCAGACACACAGATGTGGAGCTGGGTGAGGGGTACTGTCTCCAAATTTACTGCTCAGCCTGAGAACTTGACTTTGAGAGAAAAAGCAGCACTTTGTGGATTGTGGTCTGATCTCACAGGCACGGTGAGATTTCCTGGCTCTGGACACGTTCTGGTTCCTGTGACAGAAGACTCTCCTGCCACTCACAGGAAAGCAATGGGCATGTGGCCGAACTTCTCCATCTCCTGCATGTTGCTTTAACAGGCTCATTCATGTTTTACTAAGCATCAGGAGCGTGGACAGAAATGGCCTCATGTCAGTTAAAAATAAAATCAATATGCACTTATCTCAAGTTGGACCCAGGATCGAGTATTTATTTGTGCAGCCAAAAAAAAAAAAAAAAAAAAAGAGAAAAAAACCAACAAAATGAACAAACACACAAAACCAAAGCAGAGGTCTCAGAGGGGTACCTGTCATCCTTTCAGTTTTGAGAAATAAAACACATTATTATATATAAAACTATATTTAAACCTGATCATTTGCTTGGGGAAAAGTGGTTTCTTAAAGCCTGGTATAAATGGAATTTAGAAGGTCGGGCGTGGTGGCTCACACCTGTAATCCCAGCACTTTGGGAGGCCGAGGTAGAAAAATCACTTGAACCCAGGAATTTGAGACCAGCCTGAGACCAGCCTGAGCAACATAGAGACTGTCTCTTAAAAAAAAAAAAAAAAAAAACTATAAAAATAAAAAATTTCATTTAGAGTATACTTCTATTAACACTACTTTGGTTTACAATTTTAGTAGCATTAATATTCAGCACTGTTGATACATTTTCATGCTGACAATATTAAAATAAACATACATTTATTTAAATAAAATCTACTGAGCCTAGCTTTCAAAAAATAAAATCCTGGCCAGGCACAGTGGCTCATGCCTGTAATCCCAGCACTTTAGGAGGCCGAGGCGGGTGGATCACCTGAGGTCAGGAATTCAAGACCAGCCTGGCCAACATGGTGAATCCCCATCTCTACAAAAATTAGCTGGGCATGATGGCGGACGCCTGTAATCCCAGCTACTCGGGAGGCTGAGGGGGGAGAAATGCTTGAACCCAAGAGGCGGAGGTTGCAGTGAGCCGAGATCGCGCCATTGCACTCCAGCCTGGGCGACAGTGCAAGACTCTGTCTCAAAAACAACAACAAAAATTAAATCCCATTTGAACTTAAGTCAGTTATTTAACAGAAATTTACTATGTTCGTCTTACAGTTTTTTTTTTTTTTTTTTTTTTGACTGCTCTAAAAGAGAGATCCTAATGTTTAGG